AAATTGAAAGTTTTACTAGTTCTCTTTCATTTGGATCCCAAGATGCGTTAAAGGAAATGTTAATACATTTCATTTAAACAAAACATTTATTCATATCAAAAATAAAGCATTCTATTGATGGTAACCTACTCTGCTGGCTGGCGCTAGGCATAAATAAAGAAAAGCTGATAGTAGATATGAAGACCAAGATGGTGTGGCCTTCTGTATAGTCGCAGAAGAGAAGAAAAGCTGAGTTTAAATAATATCTCAATAAATTCATATATTATCTTCTGGATCATGCATAAAGGTGAGTAGGAGTCGTAAATTATTGGCACCAGAAATCGAAGGAAGAGTACAAGAGAGCATACGCTCTTGGTGCACCTGCAATTCTGAATTATCCGTGCTGAGCTTTCATCTGTCATTTAACAAATAGCATAAGGATATGAAAGCATTCTATAAAAATGTATAAAAACTGGGTTTCGAAGAATCCCTTAATAGATTGATGTTGAAGCACCTTTCATTTAGTTTGAATAGGTGAATGAAAGGTAGGTTCCATCAGAAGCTGTGGGTGGATTGCCTTGGTGAATAGGTCATAGCACTCAGCTCTCGTTCATCATGTGAGGGACATCGCCAGAGCAGGACCCCATACTTAACGATAATTCACCAAAAACACGAAGGCAAGAAAAGTGGTCAGCTTAAAACCTACCTATTTCTTATAGTCCAATTTAGTGCACTTAGGCATCTCATGCTAGAGTTGGATATCCTATGCTTTGCCTAAAAGTTTGATCAAACGGTAAGTTCAGTGCCTGCGGATGACATGCATGTGATTGCGTTTCATTGCAACTTAAAGTTTAATTCTAGAATATATCGCTACGCTTATCAGTACGTTGGAGTAGAATACAGCAAAACTTACAAAAAAATAACCGTCTTCTATCGCTTGCTCGTCAATAAGCTTAGTGAATACACAAGGATTGGTGTAGCAGATTTGCATAAAAAAACCCTTATTACTAACAATACTTATAAATAAAACCTCTACTTTGTATATTTCTGGCAGGTAAAACACATTTAAAGTCTTAGAAGTATTGTTGGAAGAGTGTGTCCATTTTCAACTTTTCCGCTAGCCTATTTGCTACAAATTGTTGAAGGCAGTGTTGGTTCGATCTTATTTTGATCGGAGCGTCAGGGAGACCTTGTGGAACGTACCTAGTCTTGTATCATCTGCCATAATATTCGTGATTTTCAGCATTGGACCAGTGGCTGGGTACATTCCTAAACGTCATCTGGTACGAGTGGTAGGGATGATTACGCTTCACTAAACCCACTTGCAGCGACACACTCTTAGGCGACGAAAGCCCAGAATTGTGTGAATAAGTGGATGGACCATATGAAGTG